AACTCTTAAGGGAGAAATACTTGTGGCTATCAACCTGCGAAAAAGTGTGTAACCTCACTAATGATCAAATAAATAAATATAAAACAATAAGATAACACTTTTCCCATCAGTCTAAAAAAGATAATAAAATAGACAATTAGAATAATGAGATCTCTTTAACCATGCATTTTCATATTCTGCAGAATAAGAGTACCTAGCACAGCATTTCTGGAAGGTATTTTGACAATATGTTTTCAATATTCTAATTCAAGGAATTTATGCTGAAGAAATAGAGATACACAGAATTTTGTAAATGGTCATAATTGTTTTAGAAGAGCAAAAAATTTTAAAACAACATATAAATGTCCAAGAAAGAGAGGAATGATCAGGATAAATTATAGTTGATCCGTAATATGCAACGTAATTCAGCCCTGAGAATTCTTTTTTTTTGAGATGGAGTCTCACTCTGTTGCCCAGTCTGGAGTGCAGTGGTGTGATCTCAGCTTACTGTAACCTCCGCCTCCCAGGTTCAAGCGATTCTCCTGCCTTAGCCTCCTGAGTAGCTGGGATTACAGGCATGCACCACCACACCTGGCTAAATTTTTTGTATTTTTAGTAGAGACTGGGTTTCACACTGTTGGCCAGGCTGGTCTTGAACTCCTGACCTCAAGTGATCTGCCCGCCTTAGCCTCCCAAAGTGCTGGGATTACAGGCATGAGTCACCATGTCTGGTAAGGGGTCCTGAAAATTCTTATAGCAAAGGTAATTTTATGACATAAACTTATAACTAAAGAGGTCAAAACTACAAAATTTAAAATATAAACTAATTCTGTGTAAAAGTAATACAAAGTGACTGGAATGGATTACACCAAAATTATAAGAGGCACTGTCTAAAGTGGTTGTCATTTCATGGCCACCTTAGGGTGATTTAAATTTTCTTTTTATCTTCCTTAATTTTTCACATTCACTACAAATCTCCTGTGGATTTGAGAATCAGCAAAATAAATATGTGTTTATTATAGGCATGAGTAAAAAACTCCCTAGCCCTGCCTCTTCCCCAATCATCTTCTTTCCAAGTAGGATGGATAGATCTGTTGAGGCTTGGATGCTGGGGGCCAGGACACATTTGCTGAAAAAGGAGAGTACATTATTTTTATAGTGGATAACAAAGTGCATTTGAAAGGTTATTAAAATATGACTGTAGTGTCATATTTAATACATACTTATCCTGGTGGTTGTTGTTCTATTAGGGTTCAATTATAATGGGCTTAATATCAATGGTAACAATGTCCATTGATTAAGAAAGTAAAAAAGAATAAAAGCAATGACTTAATGAAGCCCAGATGTTTTCAGTCTTCTTTCAGCCTCATCTTTAAGAATTATCTCCAGGCAGATGTGGGAAGCTTCCTCTTTGTCATCGCGCAGATCATAAAGGCTACTTTGTATAATATTCTAGATCAGAATTATGTTTTATTAATGCCTTTGGAGGACAGAGATGAAATTATCAAATCAAGACACCCCGCATACTTATCTTTTTCTGCTGTTGGTTGAAGTTGTCAATAATAACACCAATGAAGAGATTCAGGGTGAAGAATGAGCCAAAGATGATAAAGACTACGAAGTAAATGTAACTGAGTGAACTGCTCTCAAACGCTGGCTGTTCTTCTTTCTGGTAGCAATTGTTTTTAATAAAGAAGAAAACAATTACTGGAGAAAAATATAAGCATTCTGACCGCCTTATCTAGAAGACCAAGGTGTTTCTTCACAGCAACATTGACTACATAGTCTCTTCCTAACAGCCATGGCCCCTGTTGGGAGCCTTCTTTCAGTTTTCCCAGTTCAGCTTGAGTGACGGCATGTGGCGGGAACCTGGAGTGGTGGAAAATTGGGCTTTTTCTTCTAAGCAAAGGAGAATAATTGAGGGATTGTAAGGGAGAGGCATGTCATGATCACATTTGTCTTTTTAAAAAGTCATCCATATGGAATGTCCATAACTAGAGGGAACCTGATTGGAGGTGAGGGCACCAGAGTAGGGGCACGTTCACCTTGGGCAGAGGTGACTAAACTACTAACTGTTGCTGAACCACTATGTCCCCCATCTAGAGCCCACTGTTTAATTTAATCTGTGGTTACATCCTTTCACTCTTAACTTCCTAGTACCTAGCATACCTTCTGATATGTAGATTTTTTTATACACATGGAATAAATATCTAAATGAATGAATGAATGATCAAGCTCTAAAATGGACACAGATTGACTTCAAGCAAGCTCTCCTAGTCCAAGGTATGGCCAAAATCATCTGAGATCCCTTTCATCCAAGTTCTTTGCCTTGTTATTGGCTTCAAGCACTTTCAGGCAGGTAGCAAAAGGATTTCACATTTTTCCCTCTATCACATCAAAGATATAAGTGTTGATAGCTCCAATTAATGTTGAATGTATTTATGATATCTGTTATTCAACATTCACAATGTAGACTGGTGTCATGAAGGTAACTATTTGAAAATATTATTTTTCTCTTTTGCTATGAAGACTATCTGACCTTAGTCCGGGTTTGCTCGAGGCATCCATTTATTTGAACAAAAGGTAGACATTCGTTCAGAAACAATGTAATGGAAAGAATATTCAGCAGTGGACATTTAAAATAAAATTTCTAAGTGGGCTAACAGTCTTGCAAGTTAGGTTATTGCTTTGAGATATAGGAATGTCTACACTCCTTCATGTCTCTCTTTGGTAAATCAAGCATTTGAAGGTGAAGCATTTTATCGGAGGGAGGTATAGACAAGAAGATGAAATGATCAAAGCTCACCCAATTTTTCCAAAGGAAAATGTAGGAAAAAGAAACAGAGACAGAAAAACAGAGCTACAAGATGTGTGTCCTGATTATCCCTCTCTGGGTATGGAGAGAGAGGTTGGGATCCAGTAAATTGAGGGAAACATGGAAGGCAAAGATTATTTCCATATTTTTCTGGAAGGAAATTATTTCCATATTTTTTCCATAAATTATTTCCATATTTTTCCGGAAGGAAATTATTTCCATGTTTTTTCCATAAATTATTTCCATATTTTTCTGGAAGGAAATTACTAATGGGAAGGCCTGAGATATATATTCGGCAGGCAGGCTGACTTAAGAGATTAGAGTAACATAACTGAACGGAGAGAAGTCTCTTAAACCTCTCAGTTCTCATGTGGCTTGGACATGGAGTTGATAGCCATGCACCTGTCGTGTTGGGCCTTGTAGCAAGGGATGGGAGTAGACTGCCAGGGACCATGTGAAGGATATGGCAGGGAACCAGTAAGGCCAGGGGGAAATGATGGGGAGAATGCCCACAGTTTCACCAACCACAACTTTAATATTTGAGGCCAGCAGAGTGCTCGGTGACTACATAGACAAGAGTCATGAAGCTAGAAGCCAGCATACAACAACCAGTACATATCAGGACTGGCAACAAAACAGGCACCCCTCCACACACTTCCACCCACCGATCCCTCACTCTGGGAGCATTTGTAAGCCATATACCCTGTCTATTGCACATCTGCAAAAGCTTTCCTCTCCACTCCCCATCTCCACCTCAGGGCAGATGAATGTCAAAGGCAAACTAGAGTGAAGGTCATGTACTCAAAAAGACAAAAGAAATGAGTACATTGGTATTTTTTAATAGTTTCTTTGCTATAAATTGTAATTGTAAAATTATGTTGTGTATATAATTATAAAATCACATTGTATATATATAAATATTACAATGTAAACTACAATTGTTATAAACAGTGAAATACCTACTGTTGGCTTCGCCTTTCCAGAAAGTTGATTTTATTAACACACCTAGAAGTAAGCAAACTCAGATTTGTTGCTATGTATCATCTGCATATTAACTTATAATGACAATCTATGAATTTATGATGAGAACTGGAATGGCCATAAAGATTAATTCTCATCCCTCAGTGCTGCTATAACACTACTCAAACCACCTCCACTGTTACTACAGGTAGAGCATCCCTAATTTGAAAATCCAAAGTCTCAAATGCTCCAAAATCTGAAGCTTTTTGAGTGCTGACATAACACGCAAAGGTCATGCTCAAAGGAAGTGTTCACACTGGCATTTTGGATTTTCAGATCAGGGATGCTCAACTGTAAGTATTATGCAAACATTCCCAAATCTTACAAAATCCAAAATCTGAAACACTTCTGGTCCCAAGCATTTCAGATAAGGGATACTCAGTCTGTACCAGCTCAAAGGTACTGAATACTGTTTATGTGTTAGGCATCAACTCTGCAGACTCCCAGATAGATCAAGACACATACATGTGCTATAATAGAAAACAGTAATTTCTGCCATTGACTCAATTCTTGAGTCAGCCACCTACTCACTCTATGGCTTTGGGCAACTCTTTCTTTTTATCCCTCAACTTTCCAAGCTGGAAAATAGAAACTAGGCTAGATTACTCAGTACACATCCAACTTTGGGAATCCATGATTATATTTTCTTTAACTAAAATTCAACAGTTGGCCATCACTAAAGAGTCTGGAGCCAGGGGAGGGTCTCCCTTGCAAATCTAGTGCAGTCTTATGGTTTCCCACAGCCTAAGACAGGTACCCTTTGAATTTGGTTTCTGCCTGTCCACCCATTTGGAGAAGAGGTAAGAGGAAAATCAAAGCATCCTGTGATTCTGCCACTTCTAGCTCCACCTCCTACATGAGTGGTTTCTCCTTGGCCACTGTGGAGAAAGAGGACTGGACTTTAGAGAATACTGGGGTGTCAGATACTCATTAGAGGATGCATAAGAACCCTTCGTATCAGGCAGTGGTATTTCATAGTGTTTTGTTCCAAAGAAAACAAGGCAGAGAAACCTGGCTGCTAGAACTATGACGCCCGAAGTTCTGGACTGCCCATGTAGTCATGATATCTCTGACTTGACCCTAACACTGCAGAACATGGTAGAACACAGACTCACCTCTCTGGAATCAACAGCTGCACGTATAATGTCCATCCAGCCCTTAAATGTTGCCTGCAACAAAAGCAGAACAACATGAATAATACAAGTGTAGACTTGCCAGCGACAGATACATGGCATGGAAAAGCAGGTGAAGCCCAGTGAGCTGAATATATGATACCCCAACCTTCTAGGACAGAACGCACAAATAAAAGAACAGTAGAAGGGAATTCAAGGATATGTGTCCTGGATTTTTTCTTCTTCTTCATTTGTACAAGATACAAAATTTAAAAACAAGAAGTTTCCACCTTAAAAGTTACCAGAGAAGCTGAGGCTGTGGCCCAACTGCTGCAAAGAGCCTGGCCAAGGGTTCTTTTCTGATGCTGTATCTATTTGCACTGCCTGTTCAAGACCTGGCATCTGTGGTTTAAGCAAGGAACTGTTCAAAATGTCATGACCTATACCTGAGGCTCCACTCCTCTCTGTCTGGAGTTATGGAGAGCCAGCAAGGTGCCATACAGGACAAGGTGGGATGTACAGATCCTTAAAGGGGCATCACTAGGCAGCTGAGGCACGGTAGTCAATGAAGTTGCAGATGCTCAGGAGAGGACAATTCCAGAAGGCATTGGCTTCCATATGTGGAATCAGGATGTGCTTCTATTATCACAATGGAGTCACTGCATTTTTATTAGCTGAGAAACAATGTATGATTCTCTGAAGCTTTTTTCTCCTCAGAGTGAAAAACATACTGACTGTACTTACCACTTGCAGCAGAGCGAGGTAAGCATTTCCCACATCGTCAAAGTTGACTTTCTGGTTGAGCCAAGAGAAATTGCCACTTTCGCATTGATTTTTATTTGGTACTATGGTATAATTTATAACTGAGTCTGTTCCATTAATGCATCTCCAAAATTTTCCAGAAAAGAAGTGTACTCCCAGGATACAAAATATGAGCCAGAAAATGAGGCAGACAAGTAAAACATTCAGAATGGCAGGTATGGCACCTATGAGAGCATTGACCACCACCTTATGGAAACAGAAGCAAAGAAAACTGTAACAGATGGGTAGGATGCATCTGGCTCGACTTCTTGGGATGGACCTGCCTGATGTGCAGGGCTGAATCTCTTAATCTCCCCATACCTGCACCCCACCCCCATGACCAGCCCTGCACTCAGCTCCCTATATAATGGGTCCTCTCTGTTACCACTGAGGATACCTTGAGAAGTGCCCAGTGATGACAGTGTTAGAGACTTAAGAACACCTACCCCAGTGCTCTGAAGGGGAGTCAGAGCTCATTTTGGCTGTCACAGAAGCTTTTAGTGTCGAATGTGTATCTTAGGGTTTTCTCTACCTCTCAAACTCTAAGCATTGGGCAGGCTGGGAATTAACCCAGGAAAAGGTCAGCAATTTAAAGAAATCTCAGCTCAGAAAAAGCAGCTGATCTCTCCATCTTTCCCTGTTAACTGAACTTCCAACCATCCTTCTGCAGAATGTACCTTCATTCCTTCAAACTGGGACAGCGCGCGAAGAGGCCTCAGTGCTCGCAGTGTCCGGAAAGACTTCAATTCGTTTGAGTTAAGAAGGCTGGTCACAGAGACCTGATGGGTAGAGAAGTCCCCGTAATGCACCTGACTTGGTGTCCAGCTGGAAAGCCCATTCTTCTCCTTACCTACCAAAGCTACAGTCCACAAAAGTGGGAACAATGCACTCACATTATTTGTTTAATGAAAGACATCTGAGAAATTGTTATGAATTAAAGGAAACCAAAGAGATATAACAATAATACATAATGTGGGGTCCTGAGTTGGATCCTGGATTGGAGTGGGGGCAGGAGGTGGATTCGTAGAGGGAATTAACCGTAAAGAATCTTGTTATGGTGGTCAGTTGAAATTTGTTATGGTAGTCAGTCAGTTGCCATAACAAGGCTCTCTATGGTAAATTGGAAAAACTTAAAAATGGATGTGAATTTTAATTGGATCAATGTTAAACTAGTACAATCACTATGGGAAACAATGTGGAGACTCCTTAAAGAACTAAAAGTAAATCTGCCATCTGATCCAGCAATCCTACTACCGTGTAGCTACCCAGAAGAAGTCATTGTATGAAAAAGACACTTGCACATGCATGTTTATAGCAGCACAATTCACAATTGCAAAAATATGCATTCAGCCCAAATGCCCATCAATCAACTAGTGGATAAAGAAAATATAGTGTATATGTGTGTGTGTGTATGTGTGTGTATATATATATATATATATATACACACACACACACTATATATATAGGTATATATATGCCACATTTTATATATACATATATATATAATGTGGCATATATATACATATATATATAGTGTGTGTGTGTGTATATATATATATACCATATGTGTATATATATATGTATATATATATGTATATATATGTGTATACGTATATGTGTATATATATATACATATGGTATATATATACCATATATATACCATATGTGTATGTATATATATATACACATATGGTATACACACACACACACACACACACACACATATATGTATACACCATGGAATACTATTCAACCATAAAAAGGACTAAAATAATGGCATTTGCAGCAACCTGGATGAAATTGGAGACTATTATTCTAAGTGAAGAACTCAGAAATGGAAAACCAAACATTGTATGTTCTCACTCATAAGAGGGACCTAAGACATAAGGACACAAAGGGATAAGAATAATACAATGGACTTTGGGAACTCAGGGGAGAGAAGCATGTGAAGGATAAAAGATTACATTGGGTACAGTGTACACAGCTCGGGCAATGGGGCACCAAAATCTCAGAAATCACCAATAAATAAATTATTCATGTAACCAAACACCACCTGTTCCCCAAAAATCTATTTAAATATAATAAATAACAAATAAATCCACCCATCTTGGCCTAGTACCCTTTTTTGACAGTGTGGCTTTGGACTATTGTTTTGGTATTTTTAATGGGTATCACTAGATTTCTAGTGAAACTATCACTAGTTTTCTATTTTGTATTCAGTCTATTTGGGCAATTTATAGTTCACATCTTCATTTTTACCCCTGAAAAAATTATTGTTAAATGAGAGGAAATTTTTCCTTAAGGTTACACAAAAAGAGGGTAGACTAATTAGCTTTAGGGCCCAGGCTCCTAAGGGTAGGGCTTGTAACCAGTAAACCACAGGTCCCTATAATAGAGATAACGATCATCTGTTCATATAGTTTATAGGATTTTTTAACCATAATCTATTGAGATAATGGATACAGAGTTATTTGCACTCTAGAAATTAATGGGACTGACAAACAGGCAGATGGCTTTTTTTCCCATGTTTGAATCCTGTTAGAGTTTCTATGGCATTGATATCTTTCTAAAATGCCTGAACCACAGTGAGCTTCTGTTTCCTTGCCTCTGAGCTTCTGGTTTTCTTGTCTGCAATGTGGTAGATGTCATGTAATACTGATTAACTCAGAATGTTGATGTGCACATTAAATAAACACATGATCTATTTGTGCTAACCAACAACATTATAGCTCTCCGGTGGGGTTCGCTGACCACATAGTTTATGCTTATGCATTTGTCTTATCCACTTCCTTGCACAGCAGGGACAAAGTTTAACTAATTATATCTTGATGGAAAGAAGGTAATGTTAAAGTCAAGCACCTTGGAGTGAGACTTACTAGGTTCTACCATGTTTAATTGTGTAAGGGTATTACATAATCACATGCATACTGAAAATATGTCCATCTACTATGTATCAATAAAAACAAAATTAATCTAAAAAAAGGATGTAATGTTAAATCAAGAGCTTCTTTGGAGTGAGGCTTACTAGGTTTGTATCCTACCTCCACCACTTCTAGCTGTGCAATCCTGAACATGCTTCTTAGCCTCTCTATGACTTACTTTCTTCCTCTGAATATACATAGTAGTACCTGCCGCAAAGAGAGGCTGTGATAACTAAAAGAGCAAAGGCATTTGGAGCATATGGAAGAAACCTTGGTACAGACAAAGCACTCAATAAATGTGATCCACTAATACTATTATTAGCTTTTGGGTCATACAGATATACATGTGAATCTCAATTTCACCACTTACCAGCTCTATGACATGAAACAAATTGCTAATCCTCTGAGCTTCAGGTTTCCTTGTATACAGTGTGGGAGGTGTCATATAATGCTGCTTAACTCAGAACCCTGTCATGCATATTAAATGAGAGACGGTATGTGAACAATCCTCTTATGTTGCTTGACAATTAAGATGAATATTAGCCTAGTCTATTGGCTGCTTGACCAGCTTTGAGAAGTCTTCAAAAGAAATAGAAAATTGGAAGAAGAAAAAAATCAAGGATACTGAAAGTTACTTTAGGTATGTATTATACATAAACAGTGCTTATGGAGAGAAGTGAATGAATCCCATCATGGGAAAGGCTGGAGTGGTGAGCGGATAAAGTGCAGTGTGTGAGGAGTGGAACCTAAGAAAGGCTAAACTGCTGACAGACAAATGACAACTACTTGTAAGTATCGTGAAGAGGCAACGACAACAGGAAACAATGTTTTGGACAGACATCCGTATGAGACACAAAGGAAAAGCAATGCCATATGATCCCTGCGTCAACCACTACCCCAGCCCATGTGGGACACATAGAGATAGTAAACTTACAATCACAATGATGAAATCGAGGCAGCACCAGGCACTGGTGAAATACTTTCCAAATCCTAAGGCTACCAATTTTAGTACCATCTCCAGGACAAAAATATGTGTAAAAATAAAGTCAGTACAATTTAGTAATTCTTGGATTTTGGGTCGTTGCTCAAGGTGAACATCTTCAAATATCTGAAATGAAAAGGAATAGCCATAGGCCAGGTTGAACATTTGCAAAGAACTTTTGGGTAACTTTACTTTTTGTTTTCCTTCCTTATGTGAATAAAAACTGGTGTCTCTCTTGGTAAAATGAGGTTTTGCTCAAAAGATATTAAGGGTAAACTTTTCCAATGGAATCTATTCCTTGAGTAAGTAAAAATGGAAGAAGGAAAGTCGTCTTTCTTCTTGTCACACTCGTTTCTCAGCTTCTTCTTACTGGCCCCTGTATATTAAAACATCTTCCTAATGGATCAGCACTTTGTTTCCGGGACTTCTTCATTCTTTCAACTCCTGCCAAATATGTCTTGTCAACATTTCCAGGACCACCCAGTGTCATAGACCATTTCTCATCCTCCCAATTACCTCGGCGGATTAATTCAGTGTCTCTCTATTGCTTGTAACATTAAGTGCCTTGGCCCACCCTCTAAATCCTGCCAACCCTGAGGCCCCTCCCCCTACAAACAGCCTTATCCATTTACCGTAGCATTCCCTGCCAATAGCGTCATTTTGTATGTGTGCCATGACATATAAAATTTGGAGCACTCTGGGCTAAAGCTCCCAGTGTAAATTACTTTGAATGGTAACCATTGTTATGTGTGATTATGAAAAAGAGATCCTGGCTTTCAGAGAGACCCTTTTTAATGCCACATTCAAACTCTTCCCTCACTCAAAGTGTATGTGATTCTACAGGGTCTATATAACTAGGGTATAAGCTGTCCATTTGGCCTTTACAGAGTTTCTGAGAATGAAAGAAAGGAAGAGGGCCTGGTACTAAAGCTGTCCATGAAATTTGGGCCAACATTGAAGGCAGGAAGGGAATCATCCTCGCTGTTGGGGACAAAGGTAAGCTCACAGCCCCATAGTCCTGGGGTAAAAAAAGAATGCAAAAGAGTAAAACAGTCTCACTTCCAACTGCCAAGTGGGTTTTTGAATGGAGAAGGCCCTCTATCTCATCCTCTGCTCTTTCACCTCCTCTTCAGCTTTAAGATTTCAGTGCAGCTGATATTGTCTATAGGAAACTGTCCTGTTCCAGAAGGACTGGGTTAGGTTCCCATCCTACATGCTTTCATGCCCCTGCTTCCCTGAGTAGGTCACTTAATTGTCCTATCTATCTTGGTCTATACTTTCTGGTCTATAATCGCTCCAGCTATCTTTCCTACTAGACTTCAAGCTCCTGGAGGTCAGTGACATATCTGTTTGCTTGCCGCTTGAGGATAGACAAATCTGAATGGTACTGGGTGTTCATTTCCTCCCGTATTTGGGAAGCTTAACAGTAAGCTGGCTCAGCAGATCTGAGTCAGCTCCACGGATGAGCAGGCTTATACCTGCAACTCAGTTTCAGAGGCTTCCGCATTATATCTAGGCCATTTTCTGACCTAGGACTCTCTTATTATTACATAGTTGCCTACACCAGAGTGTCTCAAACTCTAATGAACCCCAAATCACCTAGGGAACTTGTTACAATGCACTGCTTGTTACAGTGTGCTACTCTGCAAGTCTAACAAGCTGCCAGGTGATGCTGCTGCTGCCGACAGACACATACAGTGGCAAAGGACTTGATGTCTCTTGCGCTCATTCTCTACGAATATGTACGGAGAAACAGGGGCTGGGTCCTTCTCCTGGCACCCTCTGCATTGTGTATTCAGCCTTGCTCTGCCCAGACTACACCTGCCTTTCTGAAGGCAGGTGAGCACTGGGGTTGTTTCCCCTTTTCTACATTTCTGATCATAAACTTTCTTTTTATGGCACCATGGGGCATTTTTGCTGTGGTCTTTTGACAACATTGCTGCTTTCCCACAGCCTGTTATAAGAATCATTTGTGGAATAAATACAAGAAACTCTACCACTTGAATCAGAGTAGACAGCCAGTGAAAATGTAGTCACCAGAAAGTGTACAGGTAACCCTAGACCAAAGATTAATGATAAAAACTGATCAAGGGAATTCTCTGGGATGCTTTTGGAGAAATCTGCTGTTCTGGTTGAAGAATAATTGACATTGTAGTAAGTAGACAAATGATGTATGTTGATCATGTCCCCGGTGGGCTCTGTTATCTTTTTTCACCTAGAGATCACACAGGTGTAAAACACTAACCAGAAGCTATGGGGTGTAGGGGTGAGACATTTCCGTGTCTTTTCCACTTGCTAGTGACTCTCTGTGAAATGTTCTGTCACTCTTAGTAGGGGAGAACCCAAGACTCCTGGGTTTAGTAACACGGAATCAAACTCCCATAACAAACTTATAAATGTTTGTTACGTCAAACTGTAAGAGAGCTTGGTTCCATACTATTTAGCTCCATATTAGTGTATGGTCTTTTTAAAGGAAGATACGTGATAGAAAAAGCAGAAAATAGAAAAGGAGAGGGAGAAATACACAGGCGATAAGAGAAAAGACACTATCCCCTTAGCAGGGAGGGAAGGGAGACAGGAAGGACCAGAAGGTATGGAAAGAGAGCATAAAGTTGATGGCTCCATGACTAGGGAAGCTGATGGGTTCAGAGTTATTTCCAAACCTCATGGGACTCATACCGCACTTTGATCATGATTATAAAGCAGTATCTCCTTGTCCTTTCTGTCAAGGGATCATGAATAATGGAAAATACCAAGGCAACTTATTATACCCAAATCTGGTCCCTGTAACTCCCTCCTGTAATATTTTACCTTTTAGAAAACAGCACTATGGTTTATGGTAACAGGGGAGTTGAAGCATTGCCGTCTAGAGGAGGGACTATGTAGGATACAGTGAAAATCTCTAGAAATCCTCCAAAAATGAGAGATAGATGATCAAGGACAAAACTCCAGTGGCCACTTTAAAGTGCTGGTTTGAGTTACTCTTCCGCACAGATAAAGCATCTTTGCTTGGGGATATCCCAGTTGAGCCTGACTTCAGAAGTTGTGCAAAACCCTGCCCCCTGTGGGAACCAGCAGCACCAGAGACCACTTCTGCCTGGTCTCCCACATTCAGAGCCCCACAAGAAGTCAAGTCAGAGTGCAGCTTCCCCAGCTGCCCTGATGCCCAATGTCTTCACAAGACCATGATGATTTACCAGTGCCCCACTGCTCAGCAGAATCACAAAGATAATAAAGCTCTCAAACCAGCTGTGTTTCACTATTTGGTAGCAGGTTTTCCGCAGGTTCCACCAAACGACCCAGGGAGACTTTCTCTTGTCTATGCTACAGCATGGAAGGCAGCAACCAAGGCCTGAAAGGAATTAACGGTAGCACTATCATTAGTGCCTGTAATAAATTGCATTAAAAAGCAACTCTTCACCCCTCCCTGTGTTCACACCCCTTGCCACGTGACCTACAGTTGTTCCTATTAAGGAAGTAGAGCATCTTTTCCTAACCTCTTAAATCTGACCTGGCCATGTGACTTGCTTTGGCCAATAGAGTGGAATGGAAGTCACACTGTGCCAGTTCTGAGCCCAGGCCTCGAAAAGCCTTGCACGGTTTCCACTCGCTCTCTTGTGCCATCTCCATAAAAATAAAGCATGTTCAGGTTGCCCCACTGCGTCTGGAAGGAGGATGATAGAATGTGGAGCACAGCCATGATGCCCAGTCAAGCCCAGGCTAGATAACACTTGCATGAATGAAGCCAGCCAAGATCAGCTGAATCCTGCAGGCACATGTTTATCATTGCATGCCACTGAGGTTTTGTGGTTGTTATGCAACATTTTTTTTTTTTTTTTTTTTGGCTGTTGTTAACAGCCATGTCTGGAGGACTACAGGAAATGAGGTAGGATGGCCACAGGCTTTGTGAACCACTCAGGCCATACATGAAAGAATGTGATCAAATGTCAAGATATTTACAAAGAGCTGAGCATTTGTTCTCAACACATACAAGCCTTCAGCATAGACCACATCACCCTTTCCACCTTTTCTCTTCCTCCCCTTGTACACATTCTGCAGATCTTTACTTCATGATGATTATAACATTCTGCTCCTTTCCTTATCTTCTTAAGCCTCTATGGGCTCTCTTCACTCTGCCTCTTTTCTTCCTCTAAGAACATCAGTAGGTTCGCCTTCTTAAAAGACTACCTTTTTTTCCTGGATTTTATCCCCCCCCCCTCACTTATTTGATAAAACCACCTTTCTTTTTCATCTCCACTGTCGGCATCCTATGCACACCTCAAGGGCCAGTGCAAACATAAATCAGGAGAACTGTAATCTACTGGAAATCCCTAATCCATCTCCTGTCCAGCTCTGGAGCTGTTAAACAACATGGAATGTGAGTTTGAAACACATTATTTGTGTTCTTCTGGACCCAATTTAGTCCTAAACTTATAGATAATTTTTTAGATTAATTCATCAATATATTGTCACTTATTTATTTATTAGCACCTGTTGAACACATTTCTGGGTCATCTTCTACTCTTATACTAGAGATACAATGCTGATGAAGTCACTGCTTTTGCTTTTAAGGACCTCCTGGGGGAAATCAGTGCAAATAAGTTTGCTACAACAAGTAAAAGAAATAGTAAAGGCCCACAGGAAAAAGCCACTACATTCACTCAAGGAATTAGGAAAGGCTGCATTTATTGATTGCTTATTTTTGTTCCAGATGGTCTTCTAAGTGATTTATATTCACTCATTTAATGCTCACAACAACTCTTTGCTTTGGGTACAATTATTGCCCTCATTTTAGAAATAAAACACAGATAAGTTAAATAAATTGAACAAGTCACACAGCTCATAAGCGGAGAGGGCAGAATTTGAGCTCACGCGGTCTGGCTTCTAAGCTAAAGATCTTGACTACAATATCCAAGATCTTTTCTCAGTCTATGACCTCAAATATACACTGACATTGAATGCCCTGGGAACCATAGAAAGTGGCAGATATATTGACCCAGTGGGCTTTCTAAGAAAGTTTTCTAGACTGTTTACCTGGCATTTTAGGCCATGTGAGAGAAGCCTACTTAAAGCAAGAATTTCCGGAAATCCCCTCTGCCTAGACCTGACAATCACCCCAAAAATCAGTGGGTGCCTCTCATTGTTTTTGTCTCCAATAGAAGTAGAATGATGATATCTGCTAAAACCACAAAGCTTCAAAGAAGAACAGAAATCCCACCCAAAGATTCTATGAACTGGATGCAGAAATACTGCCACTTACCTTTGGGCAAACATCTCTCTGGTTCCTTTTTGGGAACTGTCTCAGGTAACCCTCCAAAGGCATCCTGAAGATCAATGGTGCTACATTCTGATAGCATACTGGTAGCATCAGACTTCTGCACGTCAGAACAAAAGGAAAGGGTGCCGTTTACTAAGACCTTCTCTCACCATGGTAGTGCTGAGTTTCTCATTGTCTGATTTATATATATATATATATATATATATATATATATATATAAAATATATAATATAATATATATTATATCTTATATATATTTATAACATATACTTATATATTATTATTATAGTAATACATATATAATATATAATATGTATTATAATTATTATAGTAATATATATATTATATATTATGTATATTATATATTTATAATATATATTATATGTTATATATTTATAATATATATTATATGTTATATATTTATAATATATACTTATATGTAATATATATTTTCATATATTATATGTATATTTTACATAATATATATTTTAAATTATACTTTAAGTTCTAGGGTACATGTACAGAGCGTGCAGGTTTGTTACATAGGTATACAGGTGCATCATTGTCTGATTTTTTAAGGATGAAATGAACTAGGCAAAGGTTTCTAGGATGAGAGGTGTCAAGATACACCCCTCCTGCTGGGTCCTTTTCTAAGTGCTATGACCAGCCTGACTTTAGAAGAGAACTCTCTAGCTCATCTCTGCAGCTGAGGAATAGCAAGGCATGTGAAGATACAGTACCTTTACTTTTTCTCCCTACAGATCACAACCCTGATAGGCTGCCTAACTCCAATTAGGTGATGAGAAGAAGGCTACTTTACTGAGACTATAATTTTCCGCTGTCTCAGCTCCTGGAATAGTAGGCCTAGACCAGTGGTTCTGATTTCTTTGGCCCTCCAGGAGACATTTTGGCAATGTCTAGAGGCATTTTTCATTATCACAATGGGAGGATGCTATTGGCATCAAATGTATAGAGGCCAAGCATATGGATAAACATAATTCACAGAGAAGCTCACCACAACAAATAATTGTCCTGCCTCAAATGTTAATAGCAGTAAACTTGGGAAACCTGGGTTAGACTTTTGCTCAAGACTCAATTCTTGCAATTTTCTCTGCATTAATTGTGCCATTTTTCCATAATGCCGACCCTGAAGAAGGTGTGTGGATGAGCCACAAGTTCCTCTGACATCCTAGGAAAATTACCTTTCGAGGATTCTGTATGGTCAGATGAGGCTCATCTTCAGAGAACATGTCAATTTCCACACTTCGAACTCTCTGGCTGATGGGCTTCTTGGTCTCCTGATGGAGTTCACGGGCCTAACACAGAAAGCCCACAATAGAATTAATATTCCTCCTGGACATGTCACTTAAGATGAAAGAAGTGTGAATGCTATTTGGTTTTCTGTTTGTCATGAGAATAAGCCTTTAACATTCTAACTCTTTTTTCTCTTTAAAAACTGTTCCTGGCCGAGTGTGGTGGCTCACACCTGTAATCCCAGCACTTTGGGAGGCTGAAGTGGGTGGATCACCTGAGGTCGGGAGTTCAAGACCAGCCTGACCAACATGGGGAAACCCTGTCTCCATTAAAAATACAAAATTAGCTGGGCATGGTGTCACATGCCTGTAATCCCAGCTACTCGGGAGGCTGAGACAGGAGAATCACTTGAACCTGGGAGGTAGAGGTTGTGGCGAGCAGAGATTGCGCCATTGCACTCCAGCCTGGGCAACAAGAGTGAAACTCCACAAAAAAAAAAAAAGCTTGCTCTTGGAAGAACTCAACTTAATATAATTCTGGGCCAACTATTAGAGGAAACAGATTTTGAACTTGTTGCAAAGATACATAAATCAAAACAGTATGGTTCTGGTACAAAACTGAGCAAGTAATTCAGAAATAAAACTTATATGGGGATTTAATGTGTTTTAAATGTGCCCTTTCAATTCAATGGCTAAATAATAAATTAATAAATGGTACACAATGCCATAATATAGCAAAAATAAAATATATAATCATATGATATTCTGATGTAAAAATAAATGAATGAAAAATTTGAAAAATAACTTGTTATGTGGGGTACAGAGAGTTTCCTTAGCAAAACAGGAAACTATAAGGCATAAAGAAAAATATGAAAGTATATCACTACATAAAACTGAAAAATAAACTTTGTCTGATGACCCACAGGGATATTTAAGAAGGATGTGTAAAGTCATCCGACCATGTAACCAAGCAGCTTAGCAGCTGAGCCTCAAACTGTGTTTTAAACTCTTTCTTCTTTTCCTCTTCCTCTTTCCCCTCCAAGTTTCAAGATGTAACTTTGAGACAAACTGCATGTGTGTTACCTCTCATCTTGAAATACAACCTCGGAATGTGTTGTGAACCACCACTTCCTTTCCTTTCCCATGCTACACTCCCGTGCCTTCTGCACATTTATTTACCTAAACACTTTTTAAGCACACACCATGTTCTTTTATCTGGTCATATATTTTCTTAGAAGCTTCATGAGTCAGATCCCGATAGGGACCAGGTACCTCTGGAATTCTCTCTCCAACCAAAGATTTTCAAGAATGGAACTTACTCCTGGCTGTACAGTGACTACAAGATTGACTGCAACTAATTTATAACCTGGCAGGATCCATTATGGTGCCAGCCCCTTCACCAAATGGGGCAATAATTCAAGCAGAGCAAGTCACACCTCCTGGTACCTCCTAGCTCCTCTCGCCTATTCTGCATCTCAAACCCTTTCTTTAAAAACCCCCACATTCCTTCCACAAATTGAAGAGTAGAATGGCTCTCTGCTCTTCCCCTTGCCAGCACAGACAATAATAGAATATTGCTCTTTCTTATCATAATTTGTTATTATTTTGAATTATTTTCATAAGCAGCTAGCAGCCAGACCCTTTTGCTGGTTATAGCCACATCTTGGGTCAAGATTTTATCCTAACATCTATGTGAAGACTCCTGCAACTTTGACATTATAAGGTCAGAGTTCAGGAACATTTCTCCACACATGTAATGGCATATATAAAAATACAGACACATCCAAATATAGCCACAAATATACCTCACAAACATACAAATACAAAAGGGGGTAACCTGTCTACGGACTAGACACAGAAAAGAAATATAAAGTAGTAAGAATTTAAATAAGATAGCATGTAATGTTGTCTAAAAGTACACTATATGAGGAAGGGAACCAGAGCTGTATTTAAGGCTTGAAACTGCGGACTGAGGTAAAGTTCTTGCACTTCAGAGAGAAAGTGAAAAAAAAAAAATGCTGTAGCAAATGCTTGTAATTACAATTGTACAAAGCTGCACACTTAGGGAGACAGGAAGAGGTACAACCTCCAAACTAGGGCTTGGGCAAAGGTACCCACTGGTTCAGTGACTCGAGCTGCAATATGACTTGTATCACTATTGGATAAGAATCCAAAGTTGGCAATATAAGACACGGTTCTGAAATGGATGTCACAGAAGTGTTTATTAGAGACTATCACAGAACTTAGTCTGCAAAGAGAGTGGCAGATCCTCCCACTGAAGGTGAGCTTTTAAGCTAACATTCCAAAAGACATGAGGAAACAAACATAAAATCAGTAGACTTCCTAAAATTCACAACTAGAAGATGAAAGCAACATAATAATCTGAAAATGTCTTTAACACATTTAGAATTTAATGAAGAAGTCACATAGAGTTTCACTTCCTGGATGATAGCATGAGAATCTCTGTGGACCTTCTCTCCTGGGAAATAAGTGGGGAAAACTATTTTAAAAGTACTTTAAAGTCTCTGGAAATTATTCTGAGAGTGTACAGCCAATGAAGAAACATTTGCTCAAGAAAATCTACTAAAATTCTTAAGAATTGTAGAAATTGATGACATTTAAGCCATAATCTGACCTTCCCCCTCCCTTGACCCTTCCAGCCAAGTTTTATGGAGGCTCCACTCTAGACAGAGGTGGCCAAGAAGATAGGGCTCCCTCTATCCTAGCTCCCAGTTAAGGAATATGGTGATGGGTGCACCAAAGTCTCACAAATCACTGCTAAAGAACTTATCCATGTAACCAAAAAGCACTTATTCCCCAAAAACTATTGAAATTTTAAATTTTTTAAATGAAATTGACAAAAGATACTGAGCCTTTTGAATGGAAAGGCACATCAATGATCTCTGCATAAAAGGAAAATCTTTTTAAATGCTCACATTTTTAAAAATACAGCCTACATGTTAAATTACCTATTGCAGGCCAGTTGAGGTGACTCATGCCTGTAATCCCAGCACTTTGGGAGGCCGAGGTGGATAGATCACCTGAAGTCAAGAGTTCAAGACCAGCCTGGCCAACATGGTGAAATTCCATCTCTACTAAAAATACAAAATTAGCCAGGCATGGTGGTACATGCCTGTAATCCCAGCTACTCAGAAGGCTGAGGCAGGAGAATTGCTTAAACCCGCGAGGTAGAGGTTGCAGTGAGACAAGATTTCGCCATTGCACTCTAGTCTGGGTGACAAGGGTGAAACTCCACCTCAAAAAAAAATGCCTATTGCAGATGTATTTTATCTCAGCGCAAGGCCTGGCACATGGTGGTCATTCAATGCACTTGAAATAAAGAAATGCTGTTTAGTATCATTAAAATGATAATCCCATTTTTCAGTACATAAATGATGACACCACCAAGAAATGTCTACCAATAAAAATGCGTGAGTTATTGAAAAAAAAAAAAGAAAGAAAAAGAACTGCAAGCCACCAGCATTTCTTATCTCTTCCAACTCTGAGTTAAGGCCTCTACATTTCTGGTGAGTGTGGCCAAAAAGTTGGCTTCCTTTTTCTATCTAGCCCTCCACTTATAGGGCAGAGACTTTATCCCAGAAGTGCAGCCCAAGAACACTAGAATCACCCTCATTCCAGCTTACTTGTATGGCAAAATTTTGTTCTGGGGATGGGGAGGATTAGGAAAGAAGGAAGCTGAGAAGTTGAGAGGCTACTACCCCTGCCCAAGTGCCTGGAATTGTGTGTAAGAGATTTTGCCCAGAGTGGGAGGCAATTCACAAGAAAAAAAAAGCTCTGAAGCTCTCAGTAGAACTGACTTTATTTGAAACAAAGTGGTGTGGGGAAGTAAAAGTCTAAGAGTGCTCTTGAAAACAATGGATAGTTTGACGGTAACCAAATAAGAAGAGACTGGGAGCTCTCCTTCATTAAAGGCAACAAACTAAAACATAGGTCAGCAAGTTCACCACAAAGAATTATGGAAAGAGACAGCTAAGTAGAGTCCCCCTACGGTCAAAACAAATCTCAAAGACTGCACTTAAAAGCTATCACTTTCTGAATTTAATTGAATCAGATACTTGAGCAATTTATGCCCCACGGCATTGTCAAGGAAAATAGAGCAATTATCTAGCAATTAGTTGAGCCTAAAATCTAAGTGTGGCAGACAGCTTAAGGGAGAGATCACAGAAGGAGTCAAAGATTGTCTTGCTGAAACAACAGTCATCCTAGACTGACTGTGTGCATGTCCGTGGATCTACTCTCCTAGGAGTGACACCAAAGGTTTCACATTGTGTGTGAATGGAGGGAGGTGGGTTGGAGAGGGAGCAAATTCACTAAAATAGTGTCTCCAGATTACCATTTAATAAAGAGGCCCCAGAGAGCAGAAACAGGAATCAGTTACAGAATTTTCACAATATGCTACTTAAAATGTCCAATTTTTAACAAACATCATGAAATATGAAAAAAAAAAAACAGGAAAACTTCCCCGTCCCACCATATGATCCATACAGGGGAAAAAAGTCAGTAACAAAAACTGCACATGAAAGGGTCAAGATGTCAGAGTTAATGGACAAAGAATGCAAAGAAGCCATTATAAATATATTTAAAGAATTAAAGGTACAGTGCTTAAGGAAATAAAAGATATTATGATGACAATGTACAATCAAATACAAAATATCAATATAAATTATATTTTAAAGAGAACCAAGTAGAATCTTTGGAGTTGAAAAGTATCATAACTGAAATGAAAAAGTTACTAGAGGGACCAACAGTACATTTGAAGAAAGAACCAGTGAATTTAAAGATAAATCAATGAAGACTGTGCAATCTAAAGAGGACACACACACACATACACACACACACACACACACACAAAACAGAAGAAAGAAAATAGAGCCTCAGAGAAAGTACCGTTACGCATACAAACCAGAAAGGAAAGACAGAAAGGAGCAGAAAAAATACTTAAATAAGTAATGGCTGGACACTCCTCAAAACTGATTGAAAACATTAATCTACACATCTTAGTCCATTTTTTGCTGCCATAATAGAATTCCTGAAGTAATTCATAAACAACAGAAGTGTATTTCCTATAGTTCTAGAGGCTGAGAAGACCAAGATCAAAAGGGTAGCATCTTGTGAGGGACTTCTTGCTGTAACATAACATGGCAGAAGGCATCACATGGCAAGACAGAGAAAGGAGGGAATGGGGCCAAACTCATTCTTTTATTAGGAACCCACTCCCACAGTAACTAAACCACTCCCACAACAGCACTAATCCATTCAGGAGGCCAGAGCTCTCGTAATCTAACCTCTCAACATTGCTACTTTGGGAATTAATTCTCTGACACGTGAACTTTAGAGGACACATTCAGACCCTAGCACTCCACATCTAAGAAGCTCAATGAAACCCCAAGTAGAAAAAACACAGAGTTCCACACCTGGATACGTCATAGTAAAAGTGCTGAAGGACAAAGAAAAGGAAAAATCTTCAAAGTAGCATGAGAAAAGTGGTTCATCATGTACAAGATGACACGGATAAAATTAACACTGACCTCGCATTAGAAATAATGGAGGCCAAAAGGCAGTGATATGATATATTCAAAGTGCTGAAAGAAAAAACAACAGTGAACCAAGATTTTTATATCTAGTAAGGCTATCTTTCAAAAATCAAAATGAAATACATTTCCAGATGAACACAGAGAATTATTTGGTAGTTGGCCTACCTTATAAGGAATACTAAAAGAGATCCTCCAGACTGAAAAAAAGTGACCCTAAGTGGTTATACAACACCCCTCAACACAACACACACACACACACACACACACACACCAATGTATGGTAAAAAGATATATATTTCTTTTCCTTTCTTTTTTTAGCTGATTTCAAAAGCAATTGTGTAAAACAATATGTTTAAAATTGTGTTGCTGGGTATGTACAATATAGAAATAAAATATATTTGCTAATATGAGCACAAAGGATATGGGTGGGAGCAAAGTTGCATTGGAGTAAGGAAATCACACCTGCAGGTAACTCACGTTCACAGGAACAAATGAAGAGAGCCAAAAGTAACTGCAAAGTTCTTTGAACTGACTGCACCATGGACTACACCATAGTTAAGCCATGGTGAGATCCGTGACCCTCACGTACACCTCCAGAAAGCCTCCCGGAGCCAGAAAATCTGAGATAACAAGAAAACCGAAAAAGAAGAGACCTGTGACCCTCACGTACACATCCAGATAGCCTCCCGGAGCCAGAAAGTCTGAGACAACAAGAAAACAGAAAAAGGAGAAGAGTAGCTAGGTCCTGCAGTGCCTGATTAACTGACCTTATGACAGTCCATGATTGTTCTGCCTCAACTGATAAGTCGACCTTGTGACACTGGACCCTGTGGCCTGATTAACTGACCTTGCAACATTCTACCATTGTTCCTGCCTCAACTGGTAAGTTAACCTTATGACAGTGGACCCTGTGACACCCCCCACCCCCAGCTTGTCAAAAACCACCCTATAAACCACCAAGGCACATGTATACCTGTGCAACAAACCTGCATGTTCTACACATGTACCCCCAAACTGAAAGTATAATAAAAAAAATTTTTTTAACCACCCTTAACTGTAACTTTCTCTTACTTACCCTCAACCTATAAAACCAGCTCCTATCCACACCCGCTGCTGACTCTGTTTTCAGACTCAGCCCACTCACACCCAGGTGAATAAACAGCCTTGTTGCTCACACAAAGCCTGTTTAGGTGGTCTTCTCATTCAGAGCACACTTAACAGTAGCTAAAAAGATTATTAAAATAAATCTTATAAATATACACTCTTTTCTGAGCTTCTTTAGTAGACCTCTAACTATACTAAGTAATAATAAAAATATATTGTTTGAATTTTAATATAAATGGATATGATGTGTATAATTTAAAACAGTACAAAAAGAAGAGAGGAAATAGAGCTATATATGAGTAATATTTCTATAGCTTACTGGAATTAATATAAATATGAGATAGATTCTGATGAATTAGATGTAAATGTCAAACTTTAGAGCACCCAAATAAAGAAATAATTCAAAAAGATGGTAAAAAAGTACTAAAGATATTAAAATGTTATACTAGAAAATATTCACTTAATATAAATGAAGCAATATAGAAATAATAAAGAAAAAATAGAAGACAAATAGAAGACAAAGAGAAAAATATGAGAAGTACATCAACTCTATTAATAATAGCATTAAATATGAATGGGTTAAACAACCCAATCAGAAGGCAGAGATTCCCAGAATAGAAAAGAAAGCAAGAGTCAATTATACACTGAGGAGAGCAGTTTGAATTTTAGATTCAAAGATATAAATAGATCGAAAGTAAAAGGATGGAAAAAGACATGTTACACAAACAATAACCATTTAAAAAGCTGGGATGACTCTTTTAACATCAGACAAGCTAGACTTTTCCAAAACAAAAAACTTGCTAGAGATAAAGAGGGACATTTTATAATAATAAAAGAGTCAAAATATTGGGAAGATGTAGCATTTATAAACATGTATACAATTAACAGAGAAGCCTCAAAATACAGGAAGCAAAAAGTGACATAATTGTTGGGAGAAATAGACAATTCAACAATAAACATTGGAGACTTCAATACCCCATCTTCAGAAATGAATGAATAACAGCTGGATGGAAGATCAACAGGGAAATGGAAGATTTGAACAAAACTATAAACCAGTTAAACCTAGCAGACATCTATAGAACACTTGATTCCAAATGGCAGAATACACATTCTTCTCAGGTATACATGAAACATCTCCAGGATAGACAATACACTAGTCTACAAAACAAGCCTCAAAAATTTAAAACGGGCTGAAATTATACAAAGTATGCTCTCTGATCACAATGGAGTGAAATTAGAAATTAATAACAAATAGAAATTTATCAGTATTAAACAATTTTAAATAAGCAGTGGGTCAAAGAGAAATCATAAGAAGAATTAGAAAATAAGCTAAAATAAAAATATAATTCAATATATAGAAAATAAAAACAAAGTGTATTTGATACTCCCTTCTGCACTCCTGTGACACCTCCTATCTGTGCCACACCTATAGAACCACAGTAAGAACCTGTCCCAAGATGTGCATGTGGGTATGAAAGGGCAGCCACATTTTACACCCTTATTATCCTTGCATAGTGCCCAGAACAGGGCAGGCAAGCAGTGCCCTGTGGCAGCTCCAGCTTTGTATGACCTCTAAGCCTATGTGTGAACCTTCATACCTGTTGTTCAGCCTCAGGTTGTGTGATGGGCCGTGCATTATCTCCACCAGAAAACTCAACATCATCTTCCTCCTCTGCAAGTGGAGCCAACCAAGTCCGATCATGCCCGACGCCCAAGGTCTTTGGTACAGAGGCTAGAATACCAAGCTCCTCCTGTGTCTCTGAGCCCCTTTTCGTCTCTGTGACCAGGGGGATGACATCTTTGCTTTGTGCAGCACAGCCTCCTGTCACCTCTTTTTGCTTTGGTGACTTTTTCCTCTGGCACCACTTTTGGAAGAAATGCTCAAGAGTGTGTATCACAAAACAAAAAGCCCAGTGGAATCGATCCAGTGCTAACTGGACTTTAGTTTTCCTGGCCTCTCCTTCTAAATTTCCGTTTCTTTCCTCATTGCTAAAGGAATTAAGCAGTAAAGCAATGAAGAGGTTGAGCACCTGAGAATGGGGTGGGTAACAAGAAGAATGGAAAGTTTAGCAAAGGAAAGGATACAGTGAGTTTCCAGAACAACTTTTCCCCAAGACTAAAAACAGAATCAAGTGAGTTTTATGTCCCGCTGTCTCCTAAGAAAGTTCAAATATACAATAAATAAAAGAACAGAAGATTGAGAAACAAATAGAAGCAGGAAGACAGAATAAAAAATGAAATTAAAGGGTGCAATAGCCAAGTCCAGTTTCCCTGCATACAGACAACATGGATGAGTGGACCCTGGCCAGGGAAAAGCAGAAGGGGATAACCATGTGGCAAAATTAAGAATGTACATTTCTTGGGGAACAGCTGGATAGTGAGCTTTGATTTTTGCTGGAATTTCCCACAAGGATATTAATCTGATATTCAAGACCAATGTGCAGTCCTTCCTTGTTTGCATGTTTGTGAGATGATGTACATTGCAGTCTCTTCAGGTCCTGCTGCCCTAACCTCAGTAACGTGCTGGGGCCAAGCCAAGGCGGTTGGACCAAATCTGCAACTCTTCTGTTGAAACACATGCCACTTCAAAATCAGGTAATCCCAATAGTTTCCTACCTGGGTTCCTTGCTGATAATTACACACCCTCTTATTCATCCTCTTCGCCTCCTCAAATTCCTATGTTTGTGGCTCTCTTTAGCTCAACAACAGACAGCCTTTGGGGAGAAGTGCCTGGTGGATGTGAATGGGTCTAGTCACAGTTCCTCAGTTTCACTGTGAGAGTTCCCATCTCTGGATCTTTGCTTAAGCTCTCCTCTATTTGTCTCAGTTCTCCTTACCTTGTAAGTGGTCTTCTCAAGTTCTGTAATCTTCCACAACTCCTTTCTCAGTGCTCTCCTCCCACTCCCATTGGTGAGGCTTTGTTCTTCTGAGCTTTTGCATGTATCACTTACTATCTATGTACACCATTTATTAGGTACTTAGGATAAAGCTATCAAGTGTAGAGAGTTAATTATATTGCACCATAGCACCAACTTGATCCTGTAGATCTTGCGTAGTAAGGGTATGAAGTGCACTTAATTAGCCACCCCATAAATATCTATGCTTCCAGCTACAAGTAACAGACTTAAGCCAGCTTATACAACAAAAATCTATAGCATAACAAGAAGTTTGAAAATAGAACAGGGGACCATTTATAACACAAATACAGGTTTCTTCTCTCTTTTCACTCTACCTGCCTCAGTGTTGGCTTTGTTTTAGCCTGGTTCTTCTCATGGTTGCGTAATGTTTGGTCTGGCTAGGCACTAACACCTCATAGAAGTTAAGGCAACAGGACCTAAAGAAACTGCACAAAGTACACCATCTCTCAATCTGTGCAAACAGGAGAGGGTTGCATAGCAGTCCTAGGTGTCAGATCCATATTTTTGTGGGCAATTCCACCAAAGTTCCAACCTCATGATCTGGCTTTTCCAGGGGTAATAGTCATAAAAAAGCCCAGGGGAAGCAAAAGGATCTTTTTTTTTAACACATATTTTTTAAGAACAAAAGATTTGGCTGGGCGCAGTGGCTCACACCTGTAATCCCTACACTTCAGGAGGCCAAGGTGGGTGGATCACAAGGTCAAGAGATCAAGACCATCCTGCCCAACATGGTGAAACCCCATCTCTACTAAAAAATACAAAAATTAACTGGGCGTGATGGCGTGCACCTGTAATCCCAGCTACGCGGGAGGCTGAGGCAGGAGAATTGCTTGAACCCAGGAGGCGGAGATTGCAGTGAGTTGAGATTGTGCCACTGTACTCCAGCCTGGTGCCTGGCGACAGAGCAAGACTTTGTCTCAAAAAAAAAAAAAGGACAAAAGCTCAAGTTTCTCCAATGGACATCTCTTTACATCTTATTGACCAATTTAAGCCCCAAACTCCTATTTCAGCCAATCACTGGGGAAGAGAATACTATTGTCTTAGAATAATCTTCTGGAATGAAATAACTGTTGGGGCATCAGTCAAATGAGTAATATGTGTCAAAGAGGTTTTTGTCAAGCTTATCATACTTTTTTCAAACAAGATTTGAATGAATATTTCAAATATTTATTTAGCATTATATTTAGAATAATAATTTTTACTAGTAAAGTTTTGCAAAAGAAGTAATGCATTTGGCAGGCATGTAGGGATTTTTCTTCTTTGAAAAAAATCTAAGAAACATACCACAAGTTTTCCTATCACCGTGATCAATATGAAGACAATAACACACAATGATGTGTTCGCTTCTTGCATACATTCCCACATGTTTTCGATCCATTCCCCACAGAGGATGCGGAATACCACTAGGAAGGAGTGCCAGAAATCCCCCATGTGCCAGTGCCGTAAACATGAGACTGTCGGGTCTGTCGGGTCACATAATTTTGCACTCTTTTGGGAGTTGAAGCTAGAACCAAAAAGCTGCATGCCAGCTACTGAGAAAATAAAGATCACAATGGCCAGGACCACAGTCAGGCTTCCAAGGGCTCCAACAGAGTTGCCGATTATCTTAATTAGTGTGTTCAAAGTTGGCCAGGATTTGGCTAACTTGAAGACCCTGAGCTGTAAAAACAGACAACAAACAAAAGCGGAAGAAAAGCCAGTTAAGGACAAACTCCATCCGCTCATCTATACAGCAAATGACATATATCCAAACTATAGCACTTATGACATCCAAAACTCTTTTCAAAGCTAAATCCATCCTCAACATAGTCACCAACTCTCTGTCATAATCTGAAACTCACCTGTATCTACTTTTTTATTTGAAAATGGGAATATTTTGTTTTAGTTTTTTAATGATAAAGACTTTGGGATCAGCATGGTGACTGAGCTACATAATTATTATATAAAATGAATGTTTTGGGATTCTATGTAATATACCAAGGGTCAGAAAACTCTGACTGAGAGCCAGATCCAGCCCAATGCCTTTTTGCCTTTTTTTTTTTTTTTTTGGTATGATCTCAGAGACAGGAATATTTTTCCACATTAAAGTGATTGAAAAATAATCAATCACACCAGACATAACGGCTCACACTTGTAATCCAAACACTTTGGGAGGCCATGGTAGGTGATCATTTGAGCTCAGGAGTTCAAGACCAGCCCGGGTAACACGGTGAAACCTCATCTCTACAAAAAATACAAAATTAGCCAGCTGTGGTGGCATGTGCCACCAGCTACTTGGGAGGCTGAGGAGGGAGGATGGCTTGAGCCTGGGAGGTGGAGGTTGCAGTGAGCTAAGATCATGCCACTGCACCTGGGCGACAGAGCCAGACTCTGTCTCGAAAAAAGAAAATAACAATAATCAAAAGGATATTTCATGATGCATTAAAATTATATGAAGTTCAAGTTTCAGCATCAACAAATAAAGTTTATTGGAACACAGCCATACTGATTGGTTTTTGAAAGTCTATGGCTTTTTTTGTGCCTCAATGGCAAAGTTTAATGGTTGTGACAGAGACCACATGGCCTGTAAGGCTGAAAATGTTTACTATCTGGCCCTTAACAGAAAGTTTGCTAACTTCTCTATTATCTAATTCAGACCACAAGTTTGAATCTAAGCCTAATAGGAATGATGAGAGTAGTATGGCAGTTGTAGTCAGGAGAGAAAAGGCAACCAGCTTTTCAAGACTTGCATACAGTTTCCCAAGAGAAATTTTATCCCAGATCTTCACAGACTTTATAGCAAACAACCTTAGAGAAAACACAGAAACTTTTTTACAGATTGTTTCTTATATTAACTTTTGATGTAAACTGATGGTTTTACTCCAAAGTACAATTTTGCTAAGCACATCCCCTATTTGGGGATGGAAATATTGCAGGTCAGTAAGACTTCTGCTTGAAGAGGACTGTCATTTTCTACTCAAAGGGGAGCTAGGAGCATCCCATGAAAAAACTGTGTCCATTCTCATATACAGACAATGCCACAGATTTCCATGTATTAGAGCATGGCTGTAATAAGCCTAAACAATAATAAAGCAAATGCAATTTTGCTCACCAGAATGTCAATAAAACATTAGTAGAGGAGCTTAATAACAACTTGCTTTGGGCAGTGTAACCTCTTTCTATATCCCAAGTATAAAAAGTATAAAATGTACACTTAGGTAACTGAATAAAGTGTCTTACTTTATAGGCTTAGAAATCCTATCTGAAAAAAAAAGGTAAATATCTTTGAAAGAGGACAAAATCCCACCTTGGAGGTTTTCTAGTTCCCTCTTGGATCTGATTTACCTGTAGTCCTCTGTCTATACCTCTCCTGGGCCCTGTCACAATGCATTGTGCATGTAGCCCTGTCCTGTACCACTCCTGTGCTGGAAATTTCTCAAAGACAGTGATTTCCTTATCTTTGCGCCTTCCCTCATGTCGGTTTTTATTAGGCACTCTGTAAAGGTTGTCAGAATGCTTCCAAAGTGGATAGAGGGCAAAGACGACAGAGCAGGAATGTAGCACTGGCAGCAGTAAGAAGGAAACTTGTGAGGTACCACCTGCCAGCAGCACCCATCCTTCCCCTGTGTTCCACAGTCTTCACCCCCGCTTGGTGAGCCCAATATGACCTGAGAGATATGAATATTTTTCCTTATTTATTATTTATTGTCTCAGAGCTCTGTGGGATAAAAGAGTATTGGAGGGGTCATGCACAGAGCAAGGAGCAGAATCCTCACACGGGGAGACACAATTTTGTACCCAGTTGCCTAAAGGGTCATCCCTGGCAGGAAGGGGCTGGGAGTATAAGGTTTCAGCTAAGTGAAGACCCCCAGGGACTTGCAAGGCTAGTAGAGACCTGTGCAGGATGAGGAGAGCAGTTTTGGTTCTTGGTTTAAGGTGAGATAAAGTTTAGTCGAAGATAGCTATTGAACTCACTCAAGACTTTTTTCACTCAGGCAGCTATGTTCATGCAGTAAAATAAGAAAGTGCCTTACCACTCTGAAGGAGCGCAAGAATGGCCACCTTTTATTTTGAAATATACCGTTCAGTACGTCTGCAAAACTCAGAAGAGCAACAATGCTGTCAAAGATGTTCCAGCCTCGGCGAAAGTAGTGGTAGGGATCGAGGGCAATGATTTTTAGGCACATTTCTGCTAAAAAAATGCTAGTGAAAACCTACAGTGGGACAAAGAAGAATGAGAGAAGGAAGCTGTGGAGACACACTTTTAAGAATGACCCAAGGGAGGTACAGAGATTACAAAGAAATGAAAAGTATTCTCATGATTGATTCATTATTCCCTGAAGTCCATGCAATAGAAACATTTACTGTTGTAGCATGAACCTCGCCATGTCTTTACTGCTCTCTCCATCCCTCTCTATGGTGCCCAGAGCAATGTAACCAAGCTCCCAGGCACCAGAATGGAAAATGAACATTAGTTCTCATTCTGCTGAAGATAAAACAAAATGGCATTACCAGTAGATGGCAGGATGATAGAAAGTGTCAGGCAATTTGTCCTCTGAATTCTCTTTAGAATACCAATTAAAGCAATTAAAATGGGGAGAGAAGGAATGCCTACGATTGCCCTGAAAACTAATGATAAATATCCCCCACAAACTAGAATCGAGGAGGCGTTCATCTGACCACCTAATTTCAACACCTTCATCAGAATAATTAAAAATAAAAACAAAAAAAGGGGCACAGATCGTAGAATTAGAAAACACTTCCAGGGATCAAAAAAAAAAAAAAAATGTCTTTGAACAACTAGATATACAGGATAAGCCCTAGATTGGTTGTGGTTGAAAGGAGAATTAGTGAATCAGAATATAATCCTAAAAACTTTCAGGATGCAAAGCTCACACTTCCAGAACAAAGTATCACAGAACAAAAAGGAGAGGCAGGAATTACAAAAAGTGCTAAATTTTGCATTTTCCCTGAGAAGATAGTTTTGTCTTTGTCTTAAATAATCAGATAAATACAGGCCTAAGAAATATGTGAAAATGTTGAATGTAGTAGCCAATTAAAAACTAAATCTGTCTTCCATATCTTTGCAGAAAATAAAGCAAATCACAAATAAGACTGTGCTATTTGCTGTGAAGAAAGGATTTGCTCTATTTCATTTGTATTTATTTGTATTTGGTAAGGTTTTCAGCTCATTAACTCATCAGCTATTTGGTGTGGATCATTTGGTGGGTAATTATTTATTGTTTCTGATATTTGAGGAGCTAATTTTTCCTTGCGGAAAACGACTTCCACAAGAACCATAAACTGAAGTGAAGGGTCCTTGAAAAGTCTGCTCCCCTTGGTTTTCCCAATTTAACTGAGACTAGATGTATCCAATGAGAAACATATGGAAGCAGGCTCAAGTCTGGAAATTCACCCCACCCCACGGTGATCACCCCTCCAACAACCCCTCCCAGAAACGTGAACCTCCCAAGGCTGACAGGCCCTAACTCATCTTTCCAGGGAGAATAACACCTAGTAATAGTAGTCACATTATTTTGTGACAAATGATGTCATGAATATCACTGGGGCCACAGTAGTGATTGCCATGGTTCTCTAGGTATTATTCACATGTTCTTGATTATCCCAGAGAGCTAAGCTTTTAGGATGTCTGCTTGCATCCAGCTGACCACTGAATGACCAAACAGATGCCTGAACATACCAGAGAGCCAACTCAGGGTCCGTGGGCAATTTCTGAAATGAACCAGGTAAAAGTAAAACCATAATGGACATCTTTTCCTGCTGCTCCTCTTAAGGGGATCGAAAGCCTAGGTTAGGTTAGGCCATTCACAAAATGTTTAAACTTTGAAAGAGTTATACTTTAAAGTTCGAAATATGTTTTGTATTTTTAAAAAGAGTAAAGTTACCAAATTCCCTGTATTCAACATCTTCTCAAAGCTGGGCTCCATCTTGTGATGCTCCATGGCCAAGAAGACAGTATTGATGATGATGCAGATGGTGATGGCCAGCTCAGTAAAGGGGTCGGTCATCACGATTCTCAAGACCTTCTTAATGGCAACCCACTGGGGGCAACAATTCCACATGAGGTATTTGGATGCCTGGTTTTCCCCGCATGGGAAACAAGGCTCTTGTGACTTTTCTTGTTCTAGAGGAGAATGGGCGAGAGGTTGAGGAGTTAGCTCTGAAGCAACCCAGATGCCCTTTGCCTGAGTGCATTCCTTCATCCCTCTTCCCCAGGGCCTCTTGTAACATGATCAGTTGTGAAAGGCTTTGATTTGTGTAGCCAGAAAGATTTTTCCACCAGTCACAGTGCAGAAGAGACAATGTTCCACATATAACTCGCATGTGGCATAGTCAAGCCCATCAAATCTTTACACTCTTACTGAGCATCCAGGAGCTGGGCTTTGCTGTTAGAGATACAGACGTGGAAGTCAACATTGGCTGGCTGTGGATCCAAGAGAGAGACAGATACAGGCCCAAGCTATGTCCACTCAAGACAGACCATAGGGTCAGCTTAACAGGGCAAAAGGGGCAACTAGGCCTCAAAGGAAGGGCATCTGTAAGCACTGAAACAGTAAAAGGCACTCTATCCACTAGTTGAGTTCAGGCCACCCCTGATTTCTGTGGCACCACTTCAGGGACACATGCAGAGCAAAGGACATGATGCAATAGGCTCAAAAGTGCTAGAGGACTATTTGACCCCTGCCCCTTGCTGGGACTTGATCCTGCTCCTGAACATCAATGCGTGGCGCGGGGTCCTGTTACCTGCTGTTAATCTGCTCCATCAGATGGTTTCAGCCTGCCTACACAGGTCTTCTATTGCCCATGTGGGATTCCTGACTCTAACTTCAATAACTGCCACCTCCTGGAGATGTCAGTCTTCTGTTCTTTAACTAACTATTGTTGTCACTCAAATCTTCTGTGACTGCCTGGCCTGGTTGTGAGGCCCTGTCTATGCATTTGGTCTGAAGTCCCATCCCAAGTCTAGCCAGCTTCCACCACTACCCAAGTGCTAGTTTAGGGTGGGCCCACAGGGAAGGTCTGCTTCTCGTGAGCCACTTCGTTTACATGCTCCAAAGAGGCATAGGAAGTCACTCTTTGCAGGATGGTACAGTAGGTTGGTTCCAAAACAGCCTCCTTTGCAGAGGACTTCTAGAAGAATAAAAGGAATCACTGCAGTGCACTTTCCCTTGGATTGGGATGGAACTTACCCTTCATGGTGATGGTGAGGATGCTCACGGCACTCAGCGCTCGCTGCCTTTGGAGAGGATCTCCGTGCTCATCAAAGTGGTCCAGTGACAGATTATGAGACAGTCGTTTGGTTTGCTCCAGGAGCTGTGGCTGTAAGAGAAGACATGGCACACCTTCTAAAGACAGGGGCTGCCTCTCCTCAAAGCTTAACAAACTACTTTGTTCCAATGCTACAAGTAACCAAAGTGCTCAATATTTTCTATAGGTCGACTTACCTCGTCTTCACAGCATGCCAAATATTCAGTTTTCTTATTTCATATTTAACAGATACATCTGTTTTGTCATTCATATTTCTTATGCATGCACATTTCTAGAGTCTTACCTATAGAGATTTTACTTTCTCTGTGTTTTATTCACTGCCAACAGAGCAAACAAAATTTTACAAAAAATTAGTGAGCAATGGTTCAAGGTATGAAAGCAATATAAAATCCAATTTGAAAACAATGTTTGCAAGGGGCAGAAGTGGAGTGTAAATTTAAAAAAGTGGATGGGGCCAGATTGTGAAGTTTTTTGAACAACTGCCTAAACTGATTTTTAAAACTGGCGGTAATGAGAAAGAACAGTCACAATAAATATCACAAAGTGTATATGACAAACCTCAAGCACTCTCTGGCCGTGCCCAAGGGCGAGCTGACTCTCTCACATCTACCTACAATTCTAAAGCCACTGGAATTAAAGAGTGCAAGCCTCCCGCTATCCAGAAAACTTAGGTTTTTCACAATGACTCCTTTTCCAACGGTTCTGACTGACGAGGGCCCCAGAGGGAACTATCCTTATGTGATAAGCCAATCTAGATAGTCTTTCTATGAGATGTCTCCCTATTCCTATAGCAGAGAACTGATCAGAGCAGTGGATGGGATCCTTCTACCTGATTCTGCAAAGGCCCCTCGATTCCCTTTCCCTGCCCCATTATCAGGCAGACATATCTACTTTCTACCTTCTGCATCTCTATCTCAGGAAAGTGGCTCTTGCCATTCTTATCTGTATCTTCAGCATCTTCCTCTCTTCTGACTTTTCTCCAGACAATTAAATTATGTGTGAACATCCCCCATCTTTATAAGAATAACTTTTTCTGCTGCCCATCCCCCAGCTTCATTTCTGCACATCACTCTGCCTAATCAACATTCCTGCTTGGAGGTCAAAAGCACCTCAAAATTGGCACATTTGAAACTGAACATGCCATCTTTCCACTCCCAAATGTGTGCCTTCCCTGTCTCCATAAATTACCCTCCATCAAGTTAGCTAATCATGTCAGAAACAAGACCTCATCCCTACACTGTCTATCAACTCAATTCCTAAACTTTATCTTCAGATCATTGTTGTCTGTTAATCCGTCTTCATCCTCATTGCCCTAACCCTGGTTTAAGCCACAGCCACCTCTTACTTGGTTACTGCAACAACCTCTTAACTAGCTGCCTCCAGTCTTGCCCTCCTCCAATCCCCTGTCTTCAACACATCCAGGATTTCATAAATCCAGTCATATTCCTTTCTTGTATAAACCTTTCAATGCTGCTTACCCCTTGCCCTCAGTGCAAAGAGTAAACTCTTTAGCTTTGTTTTCCAGGTCCTTTGTGATCCCGCTATCTGGCTGCTATAGACTCTTGCCACCCGTCCTCCCCCAGCCTCATCACACATATGCATATGTGAGGGTGCGCACATGTGCACACACACTCACACACACACACACACGCTGGCAAGTTTTCTAGTGGGTCATGTTCACCTGTTTGCCTTTGCTTCTAGGCTTCTGCACATGCTGTTCTCTCTGCAGGTAATGCTCTCTTATTCCTTTTGCTGATGAATTCATCCTTTCAGCTGACACAATGGTTCTTCCGGGAACACTTTTCTTTCTTTTTATTATTTATTTTTATTTTTATTATTTTTAAATTTTACTTTAAGTTCTGGGGTACATGTGCAGATCTTGCAGGATTGTTACATAGGTATACACGTGCCATGGTGATTTGCTGCTCCATCCCCTCATCACCTACATTAGGTTATTTCTCTTAATGTTATCTCTCCCCAACCTCCCCACCTCCTGCTATCCCTCCCCTAGCACCCCACCCCTCAACAGACCCCAGTGTGTGATGTTCCCCTCCCTGTGTCCATGTGTTCTCATTGTTCAACATCCACTTATGAGTGAGAACATGTGGTGTTTGGTTTTTTGTTCTTGTGTCAGTTTGCTGAGAATGATAGTTTCTAGATTCATCCGTGGCCCTGCAAGGACATGAACGCATCCTTTTTTATGGCTGCATAGTATTCCATGGTGTATATGTGCCACATTTTCTTTATCCAGTCTATCTTTTATGGGCATTTGGGTTGGTTCTAAGTCTTTGCTATTGTAAATAGTGCTTCAATGAACATATATGTGCATGTGTCTTTATAGTAGAACGATTTATAATCCTTTGGGTATATACCCAGTAATGGGATTGCTGGGTCAAATGGTATTTCTATTTCTAGATCCTTGAGGAATCGCCACACTGTCTTCCACAATGGTTGAACTAATTTACACTCCCACCAACAGTGTAAAAGCGTTCCTATTTCTCCACATCCTCTCCAGCATCTGTTGTCTCCAGATTGTTTAATGATCACCATTCTAACTGGAGTGAGATGGTATCTCAATGTGGTTTTGATTTGCATTTCTCTAATGACCAGCGTTGATAAGCATTTTTTGTATGTTTGTTGGCTGCATAAATGTCTTCTTTTGAAAAGTGTCTCTTCATATCCTTGGCCCACTTTTTGCTTGGGTTTTTTTTTTTTTTTTTTTTAAATTTTCTTTTTTTTTTTTTTTTTTTTGTTTTTTTTTTTTTTTTCTTGTAAATCTGCTTTAGTTCTTTGTAGATTCTGGATATTAGCCCTTTGTCAGATGGGTAGCTTGCAAAAATTTTTTCCCATTTTGTTGTTTGCCGATTCACTCTAATGACTGTTTCTTTTGCTGTGCAGAAGCTGTTAAGTTTGATTATCTCCGATTTGTCTATTTTGACTTTTGATGCCATTGCTTTTGGTGTTTTAGTCATGAAGTCCTTGCCTATGCCTATGTCCTGAATGGTATTGCCTAGGTTTTCTTCTAGGGTTTTTATGGCATTAGGTCTTATGTTTAAATCTTTAATCCATCCGGAGTTAATTTTTGTGTAAGGTGTTAAGGAAGGGGTCTGGGAACCCTTTTCTAATCCACTTTTGAAAAGTGTCTGGGAATCCTTTTCTAATCCGCTTTTCCCCCAGGCCCCACAAATTCTGGATGCTGATGTTTTTCCCACCAGTATGTCCTTACTTGAGGACTTTCTCTGGTGACTGAAATCCCCTCTTCCCTAGTACACAGCAAGTAGGAAATTAGAGGGAAATTATTGTCTTCAGTCTTCAGCAGTCTTTAACCTATGTTTAACCTATGATGGACCAAAGTTGGTATATATACCAGGATACATACACTCTGATGCCCTTACTCCAGAATGATTAAATTCCAACTACCTGGCTTCAGTGGTAGCTGGCTTGATAATGCATCTTCATTGATTACCTTCCATTCCATATAGCACTTCTTCCCTCCTCTCCCAGTGCTTCCTGGAATCACTTCCCAAATAATCTATTTGCATTGTAATGTCTTTGGTTTGCTTCAGAGGGAGCCCACACTGACACATCGTTCCTCCTCTGTCCCCCCACAGCAATCAGAACATCAGCCATCACATTGAATTGTAATTGCCTTCTTATCAGTGTGTCTCCATCATTAGCTGTATACTCTGTGGAGTATAAATCGTGTATCTACAGTACCCATCCCAGTGCCCAGTAGATAATAAATACTGTACGCTCTAAATCAATGTTTACAAATAAATGGATGATTGACAAGATACATGGATGGATGCAAGTATGTGCAAATGGATGAATGAATGAGTAAATGAGTAAATAAATTGCTTCAATTCGACTGGCAATGGGACCCTAACGGCACTATGGTGTCATTAATTCCCTGGACAAGACTTACCGTTTTTTGGGAATCTTCATCAGAATCTGACCCTGGTGGCTGGTCTTTCCCAGGCTCTCTCATAAAGAAGGACTTCTTTTTCTTATTACCAAAGAGCTTTCTCTTTTTGGGGGAAAAATGTGATGTTTCAAGGGAGGTAAGTGAACTTCTGTCAATTCCCATGGCAACCAGAGCCTTCAAAAGTGAACAAAAGCAATTAATGAACAGATTACGCCTCCTCATGAAATACTGCAAATGACCCTGACCTTAGTGAGGTAGAAATCTCTCTTCTGGTAGCACTGTAGCATTTAAATTGTTCATCATCTACCTGGACTGTACTAGCTCTGTTATTATTTATCTGGGGAAGCATGTCCTGTTTTTGCATAGAGATTGTAGCCACCAAAAGCAGCACTGACTATTTCATATCTCTGTGTTGCTGCCCCTTAGCAGTGTCCAGTATGTGCTAGGCACTCAACAAATACTTACGCCGGAAAATGTGGATGTCAAGCACTTAGAAGGGACATCCTTCTGACAAATCTTGTAGAGGATGAGGGGAGTATAAAACGTGGTCCCTGTCCTGAAAATCTTAGACATGAGCTGGAAGAATATAAAGATTCCAGGAAAACTATTAGAATGGCCTATAAATATGGCAAGAATTTCAGACAGGGAGGAGTGATCACTGTTGTTCTAGAGCCCACCTCAAGCAAAGGCCCCTAACTCAAACATCTCCAGATTTCCACAAGAACGTCTGGAGCACGGCCTGCATTTACATATACTTAGGGTGTATCATCTAGCCAGTAATTAGGGGCATGACTTAGAAAGGCTAGGCTTCAGAAGGTCAAAAAGCATCAAGACCAAGTGTCTCAAGGTTCTCAAGGGCCTGGTGCCTGGATAACTTTGTGCAAGATAGCAGCACAGCCATTCTGCAAGGGGCCTGCATTCTCAGAAAAGCACCAGTAGAGAAAGTGCTGAGACAAGGCCAAGGGTGGCAGTCTTGAGTCTCAGGCCACATTGCCTCTGGGGGCCCCTTCCCCTCCCCAAACCGGATTCCACTGTCTAACCCCAGGTACCTACCTCTTTTTCCTCCTTTAGCAGCTGCTGGGCTTCCTGAAACATCTTTTCCTTGGCCTCTATCTCTGCAGCTACATTCCTGTTCTGCTCCTCATACGCCATGGTGACAACAGCCAGGGTTAAGTTAATCAGATAGAAGGAGCCCAGGAAGATGACCACAATGAAGAAGAAGACTGAGTAGGGCCCAGTAGTACGCAGGGTCTGCAAAGGACAGAGCATGTTCTTGCATCTCAAGCCTTCTTCCACAGGAGGGTGACCATCACCTCGAGCAAAGAGTACCCAGTAGCAGACAATTGGTCTTATGCTGCACTGGTGGGCTCAGTTGGCCATAGCATCATCTACAGCCTCCTTAAAACCCCAGGAATTCCTGATGCCCTATCTGGCAGTGGGGAGATACTAGCCATACCTTCCCATGGAAGTTTCAGGGACTTTACTATCTATAACTTTCTCAAGAGTATTTGCATTTTTACAATAAAAATGGCCAGAAAGATAATGCTAGTGGTAAAACTTCAGGCAGTAGGGAATCTGGAGGGGGCTAATATTTCTAGGAAGATGAGGGGTTTTTTGGCAGTCTTCTTCCAAATATTACATCTATAATTTTCTTGAAGTTTCGTTTTGTTTGTTTGTTTGTTTTTAAGATGGAGTCTCACTCTATTACTCAGGCTGGAATGCAGTGGCATGATCTCAGCTCACTGCAACCTCTGCCTCCTGGGTTCAAGTGATTCTCCTGCTTCAGCCTTCTGAGTAGCTGGGATTACAGGCGCCTGCCATCATACCTGGCTAATTTTTGTATTTTTAGTAGAGACAGAGTTTTACCATGTTGGCTAGGCTGGTCTTGATCTCCTGACCTCAAGTGACCACCTGCCTCGGCCTCCCAAAGTGCTGGGATTACAGGCGTGAGTCACCATGCCGGGCCAATTTTCTTGACGTTTCTAACAGAATTAGTAAGGCAGAATTTAACAGTACAACTGTTAAAGATGAGACAAATGACAAAAGTTGGGGATGCATGATAGTCATAAATAAATGGTAGATAAACAGGTAAGTGACAGAAGGGGAAAGAAAAGGATGGAGGGAGGGAGAGAGGAAAAAGAGAGACTATAAACAGATAACCTGTTGATAGAGCTTCTCCCAGGAATCTTGGGTCATAAGCCGGAACATGGCAAGAAAAGACCAGCCAAAGTTGTCAAAATTCGTATAATTATAGTCAGGATTAATTCTGGTGTGAATACATTCATATTGTGAGGAACAGGAACTAGATATTGGAAACAAAGGAACAGAGAAAGAATTATATATGCCACAACCAAGCTTCCCTTTACCCCCAATGACACTGGTTTCTCCGAGGGCTGTGGGCTCACACCAGGAGCCCTAGAGGAAGGGAGTATGTGTAAAGTGGCCATTGCCCATCTGACAAGACCCTTTTGCTAATGAACTGATTAATAAATTCCTATAAGATAGTTTTTCAGTACTCCCCTCCCTGTGTCCATGTGCTCTCATCGTTCAACACCCGCCTATGAGTGGGGTCAGTTGGGGGGAAATAGGGGAGGGACGGTGGGGGGTGGGGAGCTGGGGAGGGATAGCAGGGGGAGAAATGCCAGATGTAGGTGATGGGGAGGAAGGCAGCAAATCACACTGCCACGTGTGTTCCTATGCAACAATTTTGCATGTTCTTCACATGTACCCCAAAACCTAAAATGCAATAAAATAAATAAATGGGAAAAAAAAAAGATAGTTTTTCATTGAAAAATTGAGTATAGTGACATGTGAACAATGAATAGTAAAAAAGCACATACTATGAATATTAAGTCTCCCTCTCTTCCCAGTCTCCTGATCCCACTTCCTAGAAGCAATAGTTAGTTAGCGGTTACTTTTGTAAATTTCCAGAAGTTTGCTATGAATATACAGCATATCTATATCTATATACAACTTTTTATAATACACAAATGGGAACATGCTTTGCACACTCTCCTGCACCTTGCTTTTTTTAATGAAACAATACAGATTAGAGCTCTTTTTATATTACCATACAGGGAGATATCTCATTTCTTTTCACGTCTATGGTTCTGTGATTTATTTAACTGCTCTGTTAATTATGAACATTTAGGTTTCAGTAATTGATAGTCCTACAGTCTTACAAAAACATTTGGGCAATGAATATCTTTGAATATAGGCTTTTCCCCATATTACCAAAACACACATTATTGAGTGTTATCTATGAGATGTACTAATGTATTTTTAGTTTTTTGTAAATAGTATTTTAATCAAAGTAATACATGCACATGGTTTAAAAACTACATGCACACAAAAGCTTATAATGAAATCAATTGTATAATTCTTTAACTGTGATTTATACACCCCAAATTCAACAACCGTTAACTCTTTTGCCTCTATATGTCTAAATAGTCCTTACACTGATATTTGGTTTATCAATTGTAGTCTTGTTGATTAACTTCTTGCTATGGTAGACACTGGCTCTTGGCGTTTTCATGTTGCCCTTTCTTAGTTTTACTCCCTCATTCTTCTGGAGCACCTCTCAATTAGCTTCTTAAGAAGATTGTGTAATCTTTGCATATATGAATATATATTTATTCCATTTTCACAATCAATTGGTAATTTGGCCAGAAATAGAATTCTGGGTTGAAAATTTTTCCTTAGCAATATGAATGCATTGCTCACCTATTATCCTGTGTTGCTAGGAATTCTTATGCCTGTTTGATTTTTGTTTCTTTGTGGGTGACATTCTTTTCCTCTTTAGTTTTAAAATCTTTTTTTCCAAAAAGTTCTGAAATGCCATGATAATGTCCTTGGCGTGGTCCTTTCTCATTCACTGTGTGGGTACTTTCTGGAGCACGAAGGGACTTACATCCTTAGTCCCATGTAAATTCTCTGCATCATTTCTTCACTAATTTCCTTCCTTTTGTTTAATCTGTGCTCTATTTCTAGAATTCCCACTTCGTCAAAAGTTGGGACTTCTGGATTGACGTTTATTCTCAGATTTTCTGTTGTCTTGTCTTTTTGCTACTTTTGGGGGTATTTTGTCAAATTTATCTTTTAGTTTTAAAATTGATTTTTTGGTAATAATGTTGAATTTCTAATAGTTTTTGCTGTTGTTTTTTCACAACAAGCTGCTTTTTGTTTTATGTATACAGTATATCTTTCAATTTCACCAAGGACACTGATCAAAGTTTTCAGAGCCCTTTCTGGTTCTTTCATTTTGTCCACATTTTCTGTGGCTTTATCTTGGCCTCCTTTTTACAAAAGGCTTTCTTCAGATGCCTGGTGAGCCTGAGCTGTTCATGTGCTTTAATCAGAGGCCTTGACATGCTGATTGGGATTTGCCTGGTGGGCAGAGTGGGACTTTGTGAGTGGTAGGTTTTGCTTTAGGGTGACTGAGGAGGAGGGCCCCCACTGCACCCTCTTTCTCACCAGACTTGGAGGAAATTCTGTGAAGTCCCAGTGCCCTCTAACTTTTAGAAGCCTGTTGAGGATGGACCTACCATATTTAATCTCCTTCATTTCTCGGTCACCATTCAAAATATAAACCTATCGTGCTCAATCTCCTCTTCTCTAGGTGCACCTTCTCATCAACTTATACAGGTGATTAAGCCCCTCCACCAGCATCCCCATCTCAGCAAATGACATTATCAGTCACTCACACTGATATGAAAACATCTCTAACAGTTTTCTTCCCTTTGCACTTCCCACCACTCCCTTACACATGGCTTCGTACCCGCAAATACACACCAACACTCCCTCTTCAATCTCCAAATTTTGTTCTTTCTACTTATTTATTATTTATTTTTATTTGTACCTATGATTTTAGGTTCTGGGGTACATGTACCGGTTTGTTATGTAGGTCAACTCATATCACAGGGGTTTGTTGTACAGATTATTTCACCACCCAGGTACTAAGCCTAGTACTCAACAGTTATTTTTTCTGCTCCTCTTGCTGCTCCCACCCTTCGTTCTCAAGTAGGCCCCATTAGCTGTTGTTCTTCTCTAGGTCCATGAGTTCTCATCATTTAACTCCCACTTACAAGTGAGAACATGCAGCATTTGGCTTTCTGTTTCCTGCTTCAGTTTGCTAAAGCTAATGGCCTCTAACTCCACCCATGTTCCTGCAAAAGACATAATCTCACTCATTTTTATGGCTGCATAGTATTCCATGATATATATGTACCACATTTTCTTTATCCCAGTCTGTCAGTGATGGGCATTCAGGTTGATTCCTTGTCTTTGTTATTGTAAATGGTGCTGCAATGTAAATTCATGTGCATATATTTTTATAGTAGAATGATTTATATTCTTCTCGGTACATATTAATATGATTTATATTCCTCTTGGGATTTCTGGGATGAATTCAGCAACAGTAGTTCTTTCTGTTTTTAGGTCTTTGAGGAATTGCCACACTGCTTTGCACAATGGTTGAACTAATTTACACTTCTACTAACATTGTATGTGTTCTGTTTTCTCTGCAACATTGCCAACATCTGTTATTTTTTTTACTTCTAATGATAGCCATTCTGACTGGTGTTAGACAGTATCTTATTGTGGTTTTGATTTGCATTTCTCTAACGGGCAGTGGTGTTGAGCTTTTTTTCATATACTAGTTGGCTACATCTAAATCTTTAAAAAAAATTCTTTTCATGTTCTTTGCTTATTTTTTAATGGAGTTGTTTTCTTCTTGTTAATTTAAGTTCCTTATAGATGCTGAATATTAGACCTTTAGCAGATGCATAGTTTACAAATATTTTCTCCCATTCTGTAGGTTGTCTGTTAACTCCGCTGATTGGTTTTTCTTTTTTTGCTGTGCAGAAGCACTTAATTAGATCCCATTTGTCAAATTTTGCTTTTGTTCTGATTGCTTTTGGCATCTTCATCATGAAATCTTTGTTCATTTCTATGTCTAGAATGGTATTGCCTAGGCTGTCTTCCAGAGTTTTTATAGTTTGGGGATTTACATTTAAGTCTGTGATCCATCTTGAGTTAATTTTTGTATATGGTGTAAGGAAGGAGTCCAGTTTCAATCTTCTGCATACAGCTAGCCAGTTAATCCAGCACCATTTATTGAATAGAAAGGAGTCCTTTCCCCATTGCTTGTTTTGTCAGCTTTGTTTAAGTTCAGATGGTTGTAGGGGTGCAGCCTTATTTCTGGGTTCTCTATTTGCCACATTGATCTATATGACTGTTGTTGTACCAGTACCATGTTGTTTTGGTTACTGTAGCCCTGTTGTATATTTCGAAGTTGAGTAACATGATGACTCCAGTTTTGAACTTTTTACTTAGGATTACCTTGGCTTTTTTGGCCTCTTTCTTCATTCTATATGAATTTTAAAAGTATTTTTTTAGTTCTGTAAAGAATGTCATTGGTAATTTGATACGAATTGCACTGAATCTGTAAATTGCTTTAGACAGTATGTCCACTTTAATGATACTGATTCTTCCTATCCGTGAGCACAGGATGTTTTTCCATTTGTGTCATCTTTCATTTCTTTTAGCAGCGTTTTGTAATTCTCATTGTAGAGATCTTTCACCTCCCTGATTAGCTGTATTCCTAGGTATTTTATTCTCTTGTCACATCGTGAATAGGATTGCATTCCTAATTTGGCTCTCAGCTTGGCTGTAGGTATATAGGAATGCTAGTGATTTTTGCACATTGATTTTGAATCTTAGAACTTTGTTGAAGTTGTTTATCAGCTGAGGGAGCTTTTGGGCTTAGACTATATTTCTAGATACAGAGGATGTCATCTGCAAACAGGGATAATTTGACTTCTTCTCTTCCTATTTGGATGCCCTTTATTTCTTTCTCTTCCTGATTCCTCTGTCCAGGACTCCCAATATTATGGTGAATAGGAGTGATGAGAGAGGGTATCCTTGTCTTGTGCTGTTTTTCAAGAGGAATGAATGCTTCCAGCTTTTCCCCATTCAGTATGATGTCCGCTGTGGGACTGACATAGATGGCTCTTATTATTTTGAGGTATGTTCCTTCGGTATCCAGTTTATTGAGAGTTTTAAACATGAAAGGATGTTAAATTTATCAAAAGCTTTCCCTGCAACTATTGAAGTAATCATGTGTTTTTTGTCTTTAGTTTTGATGAATCACATTTATTGATTTGTGTGTGTTGAATGAATCATAAATCCCAAGGATGAAGCCTACTTGATTGCTGTGGATTCGCTTTTTGATGTGCTGCTGGATTAAGTTTGTAAGTATTTAGTTGAGGATTTTTGCATCAATGTTCATCAAGGATATTGACC